AAGTCTTAATGAATGTGGGTCGAAATATCATTAGTTTTGCAGTTACAACAGTTTTTATCAGTAAAGTATTACTTGCGTCTGACTACAGCATATGTTCAGTTCGGTCCATTTTAACACACACTTTAGTGTGTTTCTTTGTGAAAGCACACACACGTTGGAAGATTCCTAACTATTTTCTCATCTGCAGCCAGCAGTTTCCGATTCTTTGTCTCAATTCGCTTACCAAAGTAAGTGGTTCACTGGACATTATACTTTTAAAATGTCCCCACAGATAAAAGTTTAGGAATTTGTACTATCGTTTATGAACCACAAAGAAAGTAACCCAGCTATTAAATTAGTTTAAAAAAAGATTCATTGAAAATAAGCGTCACTTGTTCGAAAAATAGCGTCAAAGTTCGCCATCCGAAAATATCTATAAATGACATCCTTTTTGTACGTTTTGAGGATTTTATATAAACCTACTTTATTGAAGCTTATGCTCAAAATTCGCAAGTTTTCCGTGATTTATGGGACGGCAGTGTAAATCTGCTGAACATAGCAGCTATGTCATGGGCCTGACACGCCCAACCTACTTTTCACGAAGCTTAATGTTCAAATGTTGTTTCTTACTTCTACAAAAGTGAGGAATGGTGCATAAACCATTTGTTGCCTACATTGGAGAGATAAGGGTTGCGACAAATCAAGTAACGTACTTTCCAGGAAGCACAGATATGCTGCTTCTGTTAATCGATTTAGTAAAACGAATGGCCCAAACAGTTAATCGCCAAACTTATGCTATTATAGGGTTATAGTCGAAAATGTTTTATAACATCGAAACGAACGATTAAATTACGGAACTTCTTGTAACGTTGCTTATCAGTAGTTCCTGTACGACTAGTCTCAGAGATTCATTAATATGGTCATATTCAATAGTTCCCTCGGAATAAGGATATTACTGCCCACTATTAGTCATTATAAGCTAGTATATATTAAGCTCCCAGAGGTACAACTACCAAAACCCATACACTACTCGGAATCGACAGTATATTATTGGTCAGCTAACATCCAAGACAAGGGATATATCAAAATATTTTACAAAAAACATATTATACATCTATTTGCGCTGTAAGATATTTTTTACTATAAAAAATTTATTCATTCTTATTAATGAACAGCGTATATCGTATTCACGAATCAAATCGTATGATACGCGATCTTATAATGAATATTGCCCACTAAATTAATCTTGGGTAATTGGTTTGATCGGATGAGCGATGAACTGGTTTGATATGGAAGGTCCGATTTATCGACCATAAACTCCTCCATTCTGATGAGAATCCGAATGTGACTTACTAAATTATTCGAATTGATTTCTTGTGCGTGACTGGTTTCTTTTTGCGTTTTATTTCAGTGTTTGAATGTGAGATTCCTTGGCATATTTTGTTAGTTTTCTTTCTCTTTCTTTTTACCTCTTATTCTGCTGATTCTCTTACCTCTATTGCTCTTGATATCTCCTTAACATGCTTCAGATTCCCTCTCAATTTTCGTTTCTTATAACATCCGTATGTCGCGTGTGCTGATAGACGAGAATCTTTATCTTTGTTCCTTTCATATCTTACTAGATATTGGTTTGCCTTCGAGGATTCAATGCCCCAATGAATTCTCTTTCTTGACTTTTATTTTCTTTGTACCATTTCTATATTATTGGTGTCTGAAGCATCTAACTCATTCAATAGGTACATCTTCGTAATTCGTTACTTTGTCATTAATTTTTATGCTTACGGAATTTCCTTTATGTCTATGATTATGCTGTTATGCATTCTTTTATCGATTATCTACGAACACGTGATCTGAGAATATCTGCGATATGTCTATCGAACATAGAAGATATGAAAAATTCTGTGTCAGAAGTTTCATACAAAAAGCTCCTCAATTGTGAAAAATTGTTAAAATTTGAAAATATTATTAACATTAAATGTGAATCGAAGTAAACTATGTAAGATTATCATTTAAATAGAACATCACGTGCTATGTAAATGATGAGACGAAATTATATCCGAATACCTGACCCAACGTAAGGTACACAAAATTGTCATTTGAATAGAATATTACATAAAACGTATTCAGTAACAATGTACAGTTGTCGTAATAATTTAACAGTAATGGAACCATGAAAGTTCGTCTTATTAAGATCTACCTACTGGCTTGATTAACTTATTGTGTTCCTCTACTTTCCATCTACTGTTCTAATTTTACAATTTGTCGTCAGGAAATTCTCTAACATTTAGACAACCAAGATATGTACATGTATTCCCATGGAACGAAGAGACAGTGGATCGTGGAATACTTGATTTCCTTTGACACGTTTAAGCTTGTTTCTTTGGTTTACAGAGTTAAGATTGCAACGTCCATTTGACGCTTTAATCCACTTCACGATTCTCTTGGGTAGAAAATAGAGAACGAAAGACAAGAACAGCTGGAAGACAGTGAGACTCAAAGAGGACAAATAAAATTTCCCGGGAAATGTACTTAACCAGTTAGTACTAACGATACTAAATTTTCAAAGAATCCAAGAGCCAAAAGCTGAGATTCTATCCCGAGAATGAAAATTGATAATATACGTGGCGAAACTAAAACCTGAAACTTGGAATTGTTAACTCCTTGCTCCATAATATCCACTCATACTCGCGACATAAAACTTTTACGACTTGAAAAGTACTCGTAGAAAATATCCTTGTCAACAAAATTTTCTTCGAAATTTTAATACGTCCGTTGTTTGTCAGATTATCACTTGTTTCTAAGTAATTTACGATCGCGTTTACTCAGCCATTCCCATTCATAAATTTTATACGCATCATTCTATAAAATCACTGTCATTATAAAGATACATGAAACGGCATGGATAAATTCAAAAATTTTAAAAACTTGTTAAGCTTTAAAAACGTCCTTGATTTCGTTACATTTACTTAGTCTAAGACGACTGTCTTTGTAACTGAAACCAACGAAAGATTATGTCACTCGAGAATAGCGACTCGTCACGTTGATGGTAGCCAGACCGATAGGAAACAATGGGATTTCCTAACGGCTCTCTTCTCCACCGATTCGTCGATTTTCTTCTGTTCAACTATGGCGCAAACTGTGTCACTTTCCCTGCGTCCTTGTGTGCTGCTATAATACATACCAATGATACTCCCGGTATTATAAGCGCAGTAATACGGCCGTAGACGTGAATGTAATTGCCAATACGCGACGCTCTCAATGGTGACACATTCATTGTTTACCGCTGTGATCCTTTTCTACGAATGATCGACGACCGATACGAAACATCAAGCCAGACTTGAACAATGCTTCTTTGTTGCTTTTTCAAACAAAAGCTTTTAAGCATTTGTGTTTGCAAAGATTGATTGCTTTCTTATACTTTCTTCTCTGATAAACGCATACATTTTTATTGTCTTTTATGTAGATAAATATCTATAAGATGAATTATGAATTAAAAAATAGGTGGTCCATCATATCTAAGAAATTTGGATTAATAGCGTCGAATTAACTCGTCTTTATCGTCCAACAGGTTGAATAGACTCAGGATCATTAAAAAATATCTTGTACCATCTAAAAATTCATGTCCACGACAACTATTCGATCTAGGATTTCTGTTATGGCGTAACAAAATTTTACACCAAATTTGGCTATATGTTGTTTGTTGGATTTTTATAAATTATATCAGACGTAGCTATGTGTAAGACAGGTAATTAATCTCTTAGGCAAGAGCTTAATCCAGTAAGTAGCCGAGGAAACGGGTGCAATTCAATTGACATAGATCGGTGTCGTCTTTACAGCGAGGTCTCCTGATGTGTGCGTTGTGTTAATTATGTCCTACATTTACTTCGCGTTACACGAGGCCTCATCGTTGGTCCGTCGTTGCACGAAGGACCTCTGATACGCGACGTGTTAGCGTGCCATTAAATCCTGCTAGAGTAGCGTAATCGTTATACGATAGACATACGTATTTATGATAGATCTTCTCCTATATCTAATAAATAATAAGTATTTGTAACGAGTCTTTCCGATCTTTTTTTTTCTCATTCCCTAACTCTTTCGCAAGGACGAAACTGGTTGTTTATCGACCATTTTACCAACTAATATTTTTAACTGCTGCGTTGTGTGACGTATTCTAGTAGATCATGAGTTGTGCATGGCTAATATTTGCACGGCCATTGCTAACTAGAAGATCAGTAATTCGCAAACGTGAACATAATTTACGCGTTCAAGTCTCTTATTTATGAACAAACTGCGGATATTTATGCATTTATGATGATTTTGAATATGCGAAAATAAATAACGATCTGCACAGATGAAAAAATATCTGAAATAAAAATACATATATTGCGATATTTTTTTTTTTTTTTTTGGTAAAAAATAAAGTATATTTTAAAATAGCGCACACTTATCTAATAGATACAAAATGAAGGTAATTCTCTGATGCCGCAGTTTATGACGCAAGCAGAAAATACACAGTTAACTGTCTGTCGGATTCTAATACCATTTTAAGATAGTCTAATTCTTAGGCAAGTCACGAGCTGCCCCGACTTCCTCTCTTCGGACGTGGAAAACGAAACTCTTTCAGCCGACGAATCAACTTGCCTTGAAGACTGCCTCTTTCTTAAAACTTTTTATTCGGATCGTGTATTGGCTACTCATTACGACATTATTTTACGTTTCTGTTCCTCTGCGGTTTTGCGCGTGCTTATGCTTTCAATGACGTTCTTTCTATATAAATACACTCATGGTAACTTCCTCTTTTTCTCTCTCGTTTACTTATTCATTTATATTGCTCCCTATTTACTCCCTAGGACACGTTTTCTATCTCTCTTCGTTTTTATGTTCCTTCTTTCTCCCTCGAGTATTTTCCAAAAGCTTTTACGACACAAGTTCGACAACGATAAAAATTCTATTATTAGTAATAATACAGAAGAAAATTACTGATTGGTAATAATAGTAACACGCGTTATTCTTTGTTGTAGATTTCAAAATGGGTTGTTTCGGCAGCAAAGATAAGTTGAGCAAAGAGGATATGGATTTCCTTAAATCACACACAAGATACGATGAAGCAACTATAAAAGAATGGTACAAAGGATTCAAAGTAAGTGTACATTTATTTCATATTAACGTTATAGATTTATTCTTTCTACATTTATCATTATGTATTAACGATAACAATATCATGTCCCTGTCTAAACTATACTTTAGGTTGTTACGTTTATCAACATTTTATCAAGTATAATCTGTTATGCGCTCAAACATTTTACGAGCTATGAAAGTACCTATTGTTAGAAGTAAAAAACGAAGAAGAAAATATTAATAGAAACGTAAATCAATGAATCTTTGATCATTTATGCTATTGCGGCCATTATCGATCGCTAAATGAGAGCTATAGAAAGAATATGAAATATCTTTAAAGTTCGCTCTCTTAAACGGTTTATTGGGTATAAACTCGATTCTTGAAAGATTCTCTTCTTGTCCATCGAGCCAGCCCCTTGAGTATTTGCTCGAGTTTATTCAATCAGATAAAAATAAATAATCCGCATTAGTTTGGACTGAATAAGTTTTCATTGGCTTCTTCGAAAAGTGCATAGTCCTAGCCTTAATTGGACTTTAAACAAATTCTATCAATCCCGATCAAAATGTCCAATTCCTCGAAAAAGTTAATTGCTCGAAGTTTCTCGGATAGTTTAAACACTTCAAGCAAAACCCATACACGTGGTACGAACAAATTAAACTAAGCAAATTGTCCATTACCGTTAGACATGTTTCAACCCATTCCATATACGTATACCTACCTATCTCACGCAAACTTTCTTGTTCCTCAATTGCAGTACTTGAGTTTTCCAATCGAAAATTAAATAAACGAGTTTTAGTAGTTTACATGTTCGATCCTCCTACTATTCTATCAGTAACGAGCAATTTCGTTCGAAAAGTGTAAAAGACTTTGGCCTCAGAGCTTTGTTGCATTCCCTCTCATTCTCTTCTCTTTCTCTCTTTTTCCCTCGTCCTGTAAATGCGTACGCGTACGCGTAACCACCAGGGATAATCGGTTTTTCACACTCTATTTCCGTTTTTAGCAAAACCATCAACGTCGATATAACTGTAAAACATCGTCTAACTCAAACCATTTCACTGTTAGTGTATAATCTCTTTACAAAGAGTGAGAAACACCATTTAGTGCAAACGAATTCTGTATTTTTAAGCGACGAATTTGACTGTACCATTAGATTTGACAGAAATCTATTTGCTTGAATAACAATTACTAATTACGTTGGTTTTTCTTAGCGGATATTTTACCTATTTGTATGCAGATCTACAAAAAAATTGATTTTGATTTATAAATTATCAAGTCGCAGAATATCTCTCGTACTAAGGAACCAGAAATACTTGACAGAAGATAGATCCAAAGATTATTTTACAATTATACATGTATAGCTCATACGTGTATTCGTCATATATATATATATAGTAGAATCATTAAAAAGGACGATTAAAATGTTTTTTACACTAAGAGGATTTTAAAATAACTACATTGCTATGACATTTGCTTGCGTAACAAATAACACGTAAAGTGTTACTTAATTGCTCATCTCGACGTTAATTTCTAACTATATTATGCGCAAACAATTTATGTATACATTACGGAACGAATTGCGTATATAAATAAATTTCTGTACTTTCTTAAGAAAATTGCTTAAAATTAGTTATTTGACTTTCTAAGTAAAATGAGAAAAAATTATATCCTTGCAATCAATATGATAGTTTTGGTTTTGAAATAAAATTGCATAAGCATAACAATATTTTTCTAAATAAAGGTACACGCAGACACACAAACACTTGTTTTTCTTTACGTTATAGCAAGATTGCCCAAATGGTAGATTAACGCCAGCAAAATTTGTCGACATGTACAAAATGTTCTTCCCATCTGGCAATGCGGAAGAATTCTGCGACCATGTTTTCCGTACATTCGATATGGACAAAAATGGCTACATCGATTTTAAGGTAAGATGAGATCTCCTCAAATTTATTTTTACTATTATGTTCCTTCGCGAATGGAGAAGTACGTCTTTCGTCGAGGATAATACATGCAAGTATATATGCTAAGAATAGGACTTGAACGCTTCTGATACCGCAGTTATTCTGCATGATTAAACTTTCTCACTTTTTAAATCGTTTTGGACTATGAACGTTCCGTTTCTAAAGAAATATTCTAGTTTCGATACTTCGCTGACTACCGTTTTTCTGAAAAGAATTACGCGATTTATCTTCATGCGTGGAGTGCAGAAGAGTTTGCGTATATGAGCGAAGCAAGTAAGTCATTCTTATATAAAGTAGAAGATACAAAGCTGACGAATAGATTTGAGTAATGTTTATTGTACAATACAAAATTATCGTACACAAAATATTATTACAAGATTCGGTTTCATCTCCATTCATATTACAGAATATTCTAATTGTTCTTTCTGCTTAATCAACATCTGATACACCGATATTCTCTTTTTTTTGCCACGATACACGTCGAATTTGATATTCCACACTGCGGCTCCCTTTATCTCTAAGATCGTTTAGGTGAAACTGAAATCTCTGGATCGCCATTGCATCAGACACAGTCGTGGACAAAACCATGGACAAATGACATTAACAGTCCTTACTACGTAGTAGGAGGCAACGACAATTCTCTACATCCACGAAATGCCATGCCAACCACATATCCCTTATTCATATAGGTATGGCTTGCCTACCAATCTCTGAATACGCAAACACACTGAAAAATATTCAATACTCAACGAGTTCAGTAATTATTTTATAGAAAAGACATGTAAGAGGTGTACGACCAGTATTGAAGTTTTTCGCGAAGACGATATACAACTGATATTTTAGAGATTAAATAAATTCTCTCATTTTTCTTGGAGATAATAATTCTCGGTTTCGCTTCGAACGGTGAAAGACTGAAAAAGAAGTATACGAGTTTTATTAAATTCAAAAGGGTATAGAGCTAAAAGTTGCGATCCTTAATATACGAAAAAGAAAAAAGGTACATTTCAGTAAAATTCTGATAGAATAAATGGTTACGAAATAACATCAACGACCTATCAACATTGCCGTCTGCAGCAAATACATCTGCAAATACAAAGGTCTTTAGAAAAGGCTACGCCAGTGATACATAGTATAGAGAAGTAGCCGATGGCAGAAATTTGCCAGAGGGGCCAGCACGTCGATGGGGTCAATACGAGAAGTGGAGACACTTCGGAGGTCAGGAAGAGCAAAGAGCCGACTCGCCCTCGACTTCGTTCTTTAAAACCCTCGCCGTTTGTCTACCTCAGGCGTCAGATGACCTAGTTCAACTTTACTATATCTTCAACGGCGATGCTCGAAATTCACTGCGAACCTGACGTAGAAGCGTCAAGGTATCCAAAGATTAGCGCATCCACTTTCTTAATACTGTATTCTTCCTTAAAAAGCTGTTTTTTCTTTAACCTCGTGACCAGTCGTTCCATCTCTACTAGCTTCCGGGATACCAGAAAATGTTTTTTCAACTTCTGACAATGAAAGTAGACAGTTCTCAAAGTGAAATTATACGTCTCTTGAGCGTTAATTGTAAAAAATCTACTTTGATTAGTAGATGAACAGTGTCTTGAACAAGATCAAAGGATGGAGGAACGCTACAGGGTCGAGCGATGTTCCTTACGCGAGTGAAACAAACATTTAACAAACTAAAAATATTGAATGGAACGTTCTTTCGAGCCTCAGGAGAATTTATCGCACTTTACTATGTAATAATTTAGTTACCTTAGAAGCCAAGAATGGTATCCAGAACCTCGTTGAAATTGGACTGATATCTTGAGTCTACATTTATTTCTTGGAACTAAGAAACTATTGCCAATAACTTTTCTGTCATCTACGAAGAGTTTCGAATTATTAATAGGACAACAGCGAGGAAAAAGAAATACGCGCACATCAATTGTATTACGAATTTCAAATGTACAGTTGTGCATATTTTATTATCAATATAAATCGTGTAACATGAAGTGTTATGAAGTCTACATTATTGCTCGCCGACAAGAAAATTAAATTGTGTTATTACACAGAAATAAAATGTCAACATCAGTGACTACACGGATATTACCTACCTTTTATAACAGAAATCGTAATGTTTTATTGCAGGAATTTCTATTGGCCATCGATGTAACGTCTAGCGGGACGCCAGAAGAAAAACTAAAGTGGGCTTTCCGGATGTATGACGTTGATGGAAATGGCGTCATTGATATTCAAGAAATGACTAAGATCGTTCAGGTATTATGCGTTTCACATTAATATATATTTCTCTTCTAGCAGATAATAGCGAAATCTTTTTCCTTTTGTTTTACACTGGTCGTACGTTTACAGCTTAGAGATAAGATAACGCAAAAAGACTACGTCACTTCACGTTAAATCGTTTAGTTTTTACGTCGATATCAATGAATTTTTCAAGATGAAATATAACACTAAATACAATTAAAAAGAGAGGTTCGCCGTCAGTTTGCCAATTTCAAATTCATTAAAAAAATAAAAAGCTTCGAATTTTCCAATTATTGCCTATTTTTATGATAACGGGCTCTGCTTACGAACTTTCGAAAACGAAACAAAAATTGAACAGATTATATTTTTCTATTTCTAGGCAATATACGACATGCTCGGTGCATGCTCGAGCAACAGACCAGCAGACAGTGCAGAAGAGAGAGCGAAAAACATATTTGCAAGAATGGATGAAAATAATGACGGTCAACTTACCGAGGAGGAATTTTTGAAAGGTTGCCTTCAAGACGAAGAGCTTTCAAAAATGCTGGCCCCTTAATTCCCGTGTTTTGTTTCGGGATCGATTATTAATAGTACACTGTTGTCAAAAAACATTCGTAAAATACCAACCGACCGAGCAACAGCGATGAAAGCAATTTCAGATACATCTGTCTTTCATACGAAACGTATTTGTTGTAGAATTATACATACATATACAGACGCACGTATTCGTACGCGCCCGTACACATGCATACACGCACAAATACACGGACACGCGCGTGCGCGCGGATACATTGCAGCATTACAATGGTTAATACGAAAACCTGATAGAACACCTTTAATTCCCAGAATTGCAATTGGCAAAGAACAATAACTAAAGAATCGTTGTCTTTCTACGTTCTAATTTCGAGTCGAGTTACCGGAATAATTTCTCGAAAGAATTCGTCGACAGATTACTTTTTAAGGAATCGGATTTAAGTGCTGTGAACGCGAAAGGAGTCCACCCTTGATCTGAATTTACAACCGGTGATACGAAGGAACTCATACGTTGACTACTTGGAAAGTATCCAGCATTAGACATCCAAAAAATACCCAACTTCTCAACAAAAAAAAAAAACAAAAACAAAAAAAACACTTAGACTGTGAAGAGGACAACATCGGCAAGCAACGCTTTGCAATCATGACCATTTTAACATTTTATATAGTTGCAATTTCGTTGTCGGATGTAAACGCAAAAGAAATATTTCAATGAGATTGCATCGAGGAGTTTAAACTGATGCTTCCGCGGCAAGTACCTTAAGATTGACGTTTAAGGTGAACGTTAATTACTAGACGTAATTTGACAGGATTTTTCAATGTTTCGTGATCAAACGGTTCAGACAGTTGCTCTCCCTTTATAATTTGAACAACGACGACAAAGTGCTAGGACATTTCGTGAGTGATGGTAACACAACGAATTGCAAGAGAGTACTGTCGAATAGGTAGAACAAATTTTCAATCGAGGAATGCAGTTTTATATTGCACGATATACTTCAAATGGTACATTTCACACCCAAAAAGGTATGTCATATTAACTAGTCAATAGTTAACTGATTAACATTTTCATTGAAATTTTTCTCGATCTATCTGTATAGAGTGTCTGGCAATGAAGAAAATATTTTCCAGGGTGATCGTACGTTATAAAATACTATGAAACTTAGAAATAAACAAATTATATTTATATTTGCCGAATTATTAGGTTTCAAACATTATTTCGTTGGATATTCAAACTTCTATAATCAAGCAATATTGTTTGCATTGTAATTTTGTTTCTGTTTTTAATTGCATTTTATTTGACAATATAAAATCATTCCTTCAAATTCTTCCTTTCAATCCTTTTTGTCAAACATTCTATACTTTTCAAAGATTTCACTGATATGTCTTATACCAGTCTAAATACCGTAGGTCCTGAATTTATTTTTTATTCATTCTACTAAGAATACATGCTACGCTATTTAAAATTTTCATGAGTGTCACTGTATAATTTCTCATATACGTATTATAGTGAGTGTATAAAATATACGCGCGTCGTCTAAAACTAGAAGATAAATACGAAACATTTAAGTTGGCAATGTATATGCGTGCAATATAACATGTCTACAAAGAATACTTAGTATTATTATGTAATATGCATCAAGCACTACGTTCCTTAAAATTAGGGTAGTAATGGAATATATTCGACAGATAAAATCTATAGTTTAACGGAGATTAAGGAACTTCATGTTGAATAAAAAATATGTCAACGATGTTGTCCCTTTAAATTTACTTGCAATAATTTAAGATGAGGGCATATAGATAATAATACATTCATCAGCTGGTAATAAGGAGATATATTGTGAAAATTATAAAGTTTGTAACTCGTTAACTTCTTTGTGGTAAGGAAATATGGAAGCAAGGTAACCAGCTCTGAAATTTATACTACAACTGCTTACCAGCACGCATGCAATTTTCTGCTTTTTTCATTTCTAGGATCACGCGTAATAAGATGAAAATGCACGAGACGATTTTTCTCGAATCGGCAGCCAATCCGACATTCAGTTATTTATTGGCACGAAAATATAAATGATTTATAAATTTTATTTTCAATTTAATTTTTTAATGAATTTATATACATTGGCCGGATCCGCAACTGAATCCCATAAAATTGCCTTGTGCATTTTTAGCTTAATTCCGCTTATCCTTTTATGCATCCATGTGATTTTTCAGTTTCGTAATAAACTTCGATTTTACGCTTAATGTAGCTCAATGGAAATCAAAAGTATATCCATAAGCAGATTAATAATTTTATACAAAATCTTCCGCTCGACAAAATTAACTGTACAATTTTTTACAAAATTTATTTCTTTTATTTCTAAACGAAATAAGAAAGCAGAAAGCAATTCGAACGAAAGGTATGATGTTAATGAACTTTATCCATGGTATTTCATTATTATTTTGATTCCTTATTTTTGTTCTTCTTGTTTTTTACATCAGAGTTATCTGTGATTTTTAAAGCCTATAGATCATTCATTACTATTTAGATAGATGAAATAAAAAAATAATTTTTCTTCTTGAAAGAAAGGTTGCCGACACAATACTTGAGATTTTACGAATTTATATAAATCACGGGTAAAATATCGTTTCATTAGGATTTGCTCGGAAGGTTTGTAAGCAGGAAGTAAGTAGGTATCTATGTACTAATATGCAGTTCGTGCAGTTGATGTAAACAAAAATCGCTCGCGTTATCCGTATAGTTACATACATATTATGTATTGTATAGTAGACTAAGTACATATCATTGCCTCTTAAACGAAAATCGACCTGACGAAGTTTTCTTCGTGTTTTTACAACTTCGTGCTTCGATCATGCATACTACGATTTCAGTCAATTTTAAACGTGAACAAATTTTGTTCGTTAATACGATATTGGAGAAAAGATGCGACCTCACCCGCGCGCGCGCACACACTCCCAAAATCTTTAAATACATAATTATACGGAGTGAATATATTATTCATTCGCGGTATGATAAAAAAAAAAGAATGATCTTTATTCATTCGTTGCAATTTATATAATCAGTGACATTCGTTCATTTAAATACATCGGCACAATATTGATTTTTTTAAAAATGTCCTCAAATGGTGGCATTGTCCATAAATAAACGTGATTTTGTATTGCATTATTTCATTTTGTTTCATACAAATTATAGTCGACTAATTACGTAACTAATTGTTTAAAATGATAAGACAGAAAAAGATGAGTAGAAATAGGCAACTTTCGTATTATTATTAATTTATAGACATATTACAAGTATATGCATACATGTATGTTGAGATACTTTTCACGTTCTGTGTCCCTATTCGTGATCTTTTGCTTTGTCCCCAATAAATTGAAGGATAATGCGTAACAAAGCATCGCAATTCTCCTTAAATCGAAAGTGCAGCATTGACAATCGAAATAACAAGTTTCTTTATTGAAAGAGTCAATGGATATAGACGAAAAATTTTATAAAGCTTAAGAACAAACCCAAAGTGCATTATATATTACAAACACGTTGTTACATCTCAGTTTCCACCTTTGATTTTTGCAGCGTTCAATAATGAAAAATTAATTGCTCTCATAAAAGAATACATTAATAAAACCATCTAACTCTACGAGTAATCTGTTTTCTTCGTAAAGAAGTTATCTGTATTTTTTCATTTTTTCATGTTTTCTTGTACATACTGACATACGAAATACATTTTATAAGCCCACGTATAAAACGTTTTATTAAACATCTTTGAATCTTCTCAATACGTACGAAATACGTACGTTAATACGTACGAAAGGGGCGTAACTCACCGGATAGTAAAAATATCACATTCAGTACGTACTCACATTTTATCTCCAATAAGTATTTTACTGAATTAATCTTAAGTTACAAAAGTTCAGTATATTTGTATGTCGTAACAATCCCAATAATTTCGTAATATGTGTCAAAGTTATTAAAACGACAATTACCGTTACATCAACGTAATATACGAAGTAACAACTCAATGAACAATGCTTAATCACTTTGATGGAATATTCTACCGTTAATATATACCCCATAGAGGGATATTTTATGAAATCTACTATGAAAAATACCCGAAAGTATAATCAATTGAAACTACGAATCTTTCAAGCTAAACATGAGAAATTCAAATGCAAGCGAAAAATTGAATTACCTACGCTATTTCACAAATCTATACTATTTTATATTTTTCTACGCCATCCATTCTATCCTCCCTATACATTCAATCACACTTCCAACCTGTTAAAAGGCACGCTTCTATCTTTTTTTTTTTTTTTTACTAATAATTATCACTAGAATGCGGATTTCTATGCATTTGTGGGAAATTTAAAGGTGCAAGAAATGCACAGAATGCGCATGACAGGCAAAAATATATAAAATATTCAAGATACAATATTCTTCCATACAATTATAATATTTCGTAGGGGAAACAAAGCTTAGCTCCCATTTTTTAGTTGTATTCTTAAAAACATGGATTTTCATAAATATCAACAGTCTAATCACTCTTTCTACAACTTTTTGATAAATTACGCATTACAGCTATAAAACAAAACATTATAATACAAATATACTCTATGTATTGCGCGATAAAGAGATTCGTGACAGTCCTCGAATGACATGGTAGACATTTTTTATTTTCAGGCCTTCTTCGAAAGTTAGGATCACATGAATCCTTTCAGAAGAAATGTGGTTTAGACCAGTTTTGCTTTCAATGTATAAAATATCATTGTTGCTTTTAGGGGTGCGATAAAAGTGTCTTACGTGAAATGATTGCATTCAAAAAGGGACATATTACGATATATAGAATGTATTCCTCTTCTTTTTTAAGTCTTTTAAATATATTTTAGGATAGGCAGCTTCTTTTATCATATAATCTATTTTTTTACAATATTATTGACGATATTATGACAAAATTTAGCAATGTATTTATGCTTATATCTTTACATTTTGTATAAATACTTTCATGTAATTTATGTATTCCACGAGACTAATCTCCCATATATCTATTAATAAAGATACATTGATACCAATATATGGATATGGGTATGAATATGGATATAGGTATAAATATATAATGATTATTGTAACATGTAAACCCTGACGAAAGTCGAACTCGTTTGTTCGTTGTGCTGCTCGTGTAATAATCCGTAAGCTGTTGAAACATTGAAGCGAGAATTTCAATTCGAATTATACTTTCAAATAAATGATTAATTTATTTAAAGAATCACCAATAAAATCCTGTTGTCATAATAATACGCGAAATATATTTCGTGACTTTCAATTGCTTTGTATGTAAAAAAATGTTCAAAACACTACTCACAAATTTTATATTCTTATTCCAAAAATTCTTCTAATTGAATAAATATTTTAATGCTTTTCATTGCATCGAATTACACGTAATACTTGTTAAAACTTTCCAAGCGGTATAAATGAAATTTTTTAAATTTCATAAAACAAAATAAACTTCGCTTTCACGTTATTATCATAAATTACTGAATAATTGAAATTAATTCAAAATTCACATTACAATGATATACATTATACAATTTATTATGATAACATTAATTTCAGAATTTCATTGTATATTTCATTTCGAACGCAATGGTACACGTATCATCAGTGACGGTATATGGTTTGAAATTAAATGTAAAAATGGTATGAAGATACAAAAGAAAATATCGTTATTACATTCATGCTTATTTTTTTTATTTATAAAAATTGTTCTTTTTTTTGAAATTATATTATCACAAACGGATTTATGCAAATTACATTACTCAAAGTAGATCTGTATATTGCTCGAAAATTCGTTTAATTCTCATAGAATTACAATTGCTAAAAACATAATTATATATGTATATATTTGTGACAGACAAAATATACTGCCGATTATTATTTCTGATTTTACATACTTCGACGTCGTTTCGACAATTTATTTAGTATATAGGCTCTTTAGGACCAGTAGTCTTCGATATATTTGAAGAATATATAGCCTTTGTAGAAATCTAAGATTAATAGATTGTAATAATGAACATAATTTGAACAGATACTTCAAATTTAAAATATCTTCTCTGCTATTCTTTCTCTACTTCTTCTCATTTGATGCTAATGCTGACGTTGTATAATGCTGCTTCTGCATCTACTTTCCGTTTTTATGCTGACTATTAAATATGAACTTGATACTAAAGAAACAATATGTATAAACTCTTCTATCATATTATGTAAATGAATTCCTTGTTGTTCCCTCAAAATCTTCAAATTCATACCTCGAATCTTTAAAGCTGTCATTAATTTACCATCAGACCAGTGAATAGATTTCGAAATATAATCGTAATAAAATTATTAGTTTGATGTTGTATAAATAAAATTGTTTAGAATCAATGTTTTCGAAATTTACCAGACTATGTAATTAACAACCAAAGGCTTTTAACAATTTAATCTGAATGTAAGTTAATTAAGTTAAGAAAAATTCTTTTCTTAGGAAAAAGCAAAATCTGTAAAGAGATTTATTCGATAACTTATTAAATTTTTGTATACTTTGCTGGTGTCCAATCATATTAAATAGAACATTAAATAAAAAATGTAATAAATTATATGTAATAGCGTCGTAAAGTATGTGATAGTTATGTGTTACTTTTTATTTTCCAAGAGCAAAAAAAAAGACTAAAAAATAAATAAATATATTTCGGTGGAAAGATTTATGAAATGTATAATAACAAGTAAGAGGTAGTTCAATGTGCAATTGAACGATAATTATATTCGTATCGTTTAGTATAAGATTATTAAATAAGATTGTAAATTTATTTGAAATCACGATCGACGATTTGACAAAATCTTATGACTGTATACTTTATGGCCTTGCTATCTTATAAATTGAAAGGTTTGAGATATACGTACTTCTTCCAAAAACCAGCATGTTTATACAGTTTTATTATAGATTATTTTGTAGTCTTTAGATTTTCGGATCTCTGTGTCTCTTCAGAAACGTGTAACTAAAAATTGTATATGCATTCGTTATACTCATTAAATAATGTAAAATGTATGAAAGGAAACGATATATATATATATATATTTGCTAACGTAGTAACATTGATTTTGCTGATATTAAAATTCTTATGTAATCTAGCTAATGCGCGCCACAATACTGTATGAATTTTGTATATACAGTATATTTCAAGAAGGGTGCGAAATAACGTCCTTTAAGAAAAGTTTTACCGACTTTTATCTGTAGTTATTTAATATACATATGTATGCGTTCTTTTAACGAGAATCTTGCATAGGGCACAAACATGTTCGATTTTCAAGAACACTGTATACAAGGTCTAAGAAATTCATTAAGTTGGTTTTTTGCCTAATGATTAAAAATCCTAAAAAGACATGTTAAAAAGAAGGAAAATAATGATTCAAAATAATTTAAAGAACTATAAAAATGATATATATATGTTCTTTAGAAATAACCTATTATTTGAATAAACCGAATTTTGCTATTATGTATTTTATTCCAATCACTAAATTACAAATGTAGTATTATGAATTAATGTATGTTACAATTAATGCGTTACATTTACCAAAAAACTTATGAGACAAAAAGGCGGCTGCTACACTTGTTATGTATGTGCGTGTGTGTGTGTATACATATACATATACATACTATATATAACATTTCTTAATGTACATTTGAATCTTTCCATAAGGAAAAAAAATGTATTTTTTTTCAAATCCATTTGATCTAATCGTAGAACTGACTATAACAATGTAGCTAAACGCAATTAATTCTTTTTTTTTCGCAATTAATTAATTAATTGCGAAAATTAATTCGCGATTTTAAAGAAAACTGGGACGGGTCACATATTGTGGAAAATGAAATCTACCATATTTTTGTAACAACCTATAAAATAGTTTCAAGGATATTTTTATTTTATCGCACATTCATTTCATGCAATAAACTGTTTTATCGTTAACAAATATCATCCAACATAAAATACATGGAAGAAATTTCTGTAAACAGATAATTTTGCAACAAGTACCTGAATTTCAGTATTCGATTGTAGTATTATTTCAGACCAATCAACCCATTTTTCTTTGAAATCTCAATACAAATTCGAAAAAAATACCTTGCATCTTGTTACATACATAAAAGTTTGTTCTAAATCATATTTGTCATCGCTTCTGCGTACTTTTATAATCTGTTAGAGTCGCCGTATAATCTTTGGATCACAAAATAAGAAAATTCGTAGTTCAAGTTACGTATTACGTACGTAATATGTAATTACATATAAGATACAGTTAATAAAATTAATCAAACTATGACCGATAGTTTCTATTCATAACTTACTAAAATAAGGTATTAAAACTATTATTCAGTTTCAGAGCGGCAAGAAATATTCGTGATCCAACGATTAATCGTACTTATAAGATCGGTAGTTCACTTCTAAAACACGCATCTTGAAATTGACATACATTATGCTGCAAATTAAAGCGTACTATTGCATTTATTTTGTGATATTTTAGTAGTATGAATTATTTCTGAGATATGAGTATATCGATTAATTAATTGGTATTAATAAACATGCGTATTTCATGATACAGGTATATGTAATGCGTCAGTATGAACATTATACTATGGGTCGACATAAAAATAGATACAGGAGAATGTGTTTTACAAGAATTACTTGACGCCATCCATACATTTGCTTAAAATTATGTAGATTATCGGTGGTAAGAATCTACAGCACATTGTCAAGCGCAACGGATAATATTATGAGTCTAAATATCATTAACATACATTATTAATCATGTCTAATGACCATTTTTGATTCTCGTTTACTTTTAAGTGTTGAGAACCAAATGAGAATAATAGAACTTGCTAGAGGCAAAATGATATTAATTTAAAGTTGACATACTACAATACTCTCGAGATGATTGCGTTACGACTCAGTCACATAATTTTTATCCTTCGCAGAGAAAATTTTAGATAACATACAAATTGTAATCATAGAACTACAAACTATTCATGGATAATTTATTATTTTATTATTAATCGAGTCTCCCTTTAAATCGAAACTAAATGAATGATTTTAGTTCTTTTTCTTTAAATAATCTAAAATACAATATAAAATATTGTGCATACATAGATAGAAATGCTTTCAGACTTGAGCAGACACCGACATAATTCCAGAAACATGTTTTTTAAATTTTACATTACATACCTTTAATTCACGTTCGTAATACACGTGATTGGTCTAATAAGATCTAATATATATGTACTTATTACGTCAGCACGATACCTATTAGTATTTCGTTTAAACAATCAAACATAATTTGTTCGTAAATGGTATGCACCGCGAAAAAAAAACGAGAAATATCGACATTACTCATCATTACTAATAATATTATAATAATAAATCACAGTATGCTATAAATGTATTATCATTCTTATTGTTGTTGTTGTTGTTATTGTTGTTGTAATCATTGTTGTTGATGTTATTATTATTATCATCATTATTATTGTTGTTGTTGTTATTATTATTGTTATTGTTACTATCATCATCATTGTTATTATTATCGTGGTTGTTGTTATTGTTATCATTATCATCATTATTATTGTTATACTATCATCGACGTTCTTTTATCAAAATTGCTGTTTCTTCTATATTTCTTTTTACCATTACTAGAGCCACATTAACATTTTATTTGTTTTGTAACAATGGTGTGAATGTGTATGACTTTATAGGTGCAAATATAATGTTAACAGTTCGGTTTTTGTGGTGTATGGTGGATCTACACTACCGTTCAGAAGTATAAAAGAAAAAAATTACTGTGGTTAATTAAAAATCATTTAGTCAGAAATCAGCAGGTGTGCGGGTACTTTTGAACGATAGTGCATAAAGAAGTGCACGTTGCATAGCTGTTTCATCTCGCCGCCTCGTCAAGTCGATAAAGGATTGAAACAATATCAGCGAGTCCGTAATCTACTCCGTAGTCATATCTCCTCCTCCTTTCTCCTCTTCCATCTCTCTTTGAATATGATTCATGAATGTACACATGTTTTCTATGGCCAATGAAGAAAACCGCAAAAGCCCGGTTTCCACTGAGATCATGTAATTCGACAATTTTTTAAACAAATAGGTACAAACACTTATGTACTCTTTCTTGTTTACAGGCGTGCCTGGTGGAAACTACCAGCCACGAAGTGCCTGTTTTAAACGGCACCAGTAGAATAGTAGACTAGTTAGTGCTTAATTATCCACTAATTGAATTCTGAGACCCCTTGACGGAATTTTAAAAGGGGACTTCGAATAACCATGGGAAAACAAAACAGCAAACTGAAGCCAGAAGTATTAGAAGACCTCAAGCAAAATACGGAATTCTCAGGTAGATTTTCATCAATTTTGTTCATATATGTATTTCATTTAACATTCAATTCAATAATAAATAATTCGAAATTCAGTTAACTAATATTTTTTTCACTTTAATTCTATCTAACAGCTAAGAACAAACTCAATAAATCTAAAACTTCTAACAAAGAACTAGGGGGAGAAGGGATTTAACTTTTTAATTTTTATTCTTTTTAAAGATGCTGAAATCCAAGAATGGTACAAAGGCTTCTTGAAGGATTGTCCGAGTGGGCACCTCAGCGTAGAAGAGTTTAAAAAAATATATGGAAATTTCTTCCCTTACGGTGATGCCTCTAAGGTAAATTAAATTATTGATTTATAAAATTTATTGAAGGTATACACGTATTAATTAAATAAAATTAATTCATCTGATAAACGATAAAACTTTTATAATTTTTACATTTTTTCAAAGCATTAATTACTATCAAGCAGTCGTCCTAACTAATTTTCAAAATGTCTGGTTCCAATTTTCTTCTTCTTTTATTACTAAAATTACTAAAAGCACGACTTTCATTAACATTGAAATATGCTCATTTATATACATTTTATCGTAATTATAACTATTTATTTGAGATTGTTCTATCACATTATTCACAAATATGTTACGCGTAGTTTGCAGAACACGTATTCAGAACATTCGACGCGAATGGGGATGGAACAATCGACTTTCGAGAATTTCTATGCGCTCTCAGCGTAACATCTCGTGGTAAACTGGAACAGAAATTAAAGTGGGCCTTCAGCATGTACGATCTTGATGGTAATGGTTATATTTCGCGGCAAGAAATGCTGGAAATTGTGACGGTAAGGATGAAACGATTACGAGGAATGAAAGCTCAATTTTGATAATTTTGCGATACTGGGCTGTGAAGATCTCAAATATTCGATTAATGTATCCATTATAATCGGAAAACGATTTACCAAACAGTAAAAAACAAGATCGCAAATATCTTAATTCATTTTAATGCAACCTAATGCCTAGTTAATAGTGGCTTGAAAAATGACAAAAGAATATAATAATAATAGTTTCTTTTTCTCAGCCTCCAGGTCATGAAAAGGGACTCGGTTTACAATTAACTCTTAAATTCAAACAAATACTCGTATTTAATTTATTTCTAGATACTCATATAAAAATACTGCTCTACTTATCAGGCAATCTATAAAATGGTGGGGTCCGTAATGAAAATGCCGGAAGATGAATCTACGCCAGAAAAAAGAACCGACAAGATATTCCGACAGATGGATAAAAACAAGGATGGCAAATTATCGCTCGATGAGTTCATAGAAGGGGCAAAAAGTGATCCGTCTATCGTGCGACTGTTGCAGTGCGATCCTAGTGCACAAGCTCAGTGAGGCCCTGGGCTATTACGCAAGTATTACTGTGTCATCTATATAACAAGGTCGGGACCCGGTCCGATAATGTCCACTAGAAATAAAGCAAATAGAAAAGTTACGTTCATAAAGAAATATCCTGGATCTGAAGGATTCACTTGGAAATCTATCAAAGCATTACTGTTATAATTTAATTCTCTTTATTTAGAAAGATATTTACTTACAAAAATTAGTTAATAATAAACCAGAAGAATTCTATTCCTTTCAGAAATTATTACAATTAATTTTATTTTCTTATGAATCGTAATAAATGGTATAGAAAACATTTGATAGGTTTTCACGTGAAATATCTTTACGTAATTATTTACTAAAAAATATAGGTGGTAGAAATAAGAGACATTTGTAAATTGGACCGGAACCCGAATAAGTCCAGGGCCTCTGGGCCCATGGCGCTTGCGCATACCGCAAGCTAGTCTACAAGACTAGTCCAGTCGCTCCGTCTCGTAAACGGATCGGTTTTAACACAACAAGTTTCATATATTTCGATAGTACTATGCTGCGTAGGGACGAATGACTTGTGAAGCTATCGAGAGATCCCGAGAATTTTGATTCGTAATAATTCTAAACAAACGTAGAAATATAGAATACAAAACATGAAATACTACGTATTTCTACGTACGTAGAAATTCTACGACGGACATACTACATATATTACCTGGATCTTGTGGTTGATTTTTCTGATAATTCTAACTATATGTTCCTTTCCGTTTTTGTTATTCGATCACGCTAGTTAGAAGATTATTTAATCTCATATTATTTTTTCTATTTTTTCGATGCTCGCAATCTTACGGAACACTCGTAAAAACCGATTTTTACAAAAGCTCGATGTTGTTGAACGATATTTTTTACGATATAATTGCTTTTAACTACTGTTGACCTTCTTTTAACGAGGTGATTATATATTAGCTATATATTATCATATATTATTACGTATATTAACGTTATCATGTGTTCGCGACCTTCAGTTAAAATTAAACATTATAAATAATGCCCCTCGTCGACACGTTCTCGAGTAATCATTTTTAGCACAAGTCCCCGTCATACGCAGCTTAAGGGTAAATTAATCTTTAAATGCGTTACATGATTTTTGTAAGCTATTTGCAAAAGCATATTTTATATTAAAAGATAGTAAACGTTTATAATTTTAGCAAAACGCCTTTGATTTTTCAGTACACGCTGTTGTAAAACTGTTAATTACCGAAAAGACTTATTTACGTGGTATCGTACTATATTAGCAACGAATTTAAGCAATTAATGGTCATCGAAATAACAAAGGTCATTGGAAAAGGGTATAAAGCGAAAAGTCTCTTGTTCAACGAAATATCATGCTTTCAGAATGCATGTGTAATATGAAGTTTTGTTCTTCTTTATAGATACGTAACATTTGCTCAAATAGCCATTATGTTTCATTTTATTAATAAATAGCAAAAATGTATAATGAAAGACTGTGGAAATATTGGTATGTTAACGTTAATTGAAATATAATACAATTAAATATTTTTGTAGCTTTAAACACATATTTTTTTCTATTCTAATATTCTACATTAATTTAAATAATCACTTAAAATTTCCGTAAAATTAGATAAACGTTTCTTCCAAGAGCTTACACCCCCGTGACCTTTGTTACAATTGCTTTATTAATACACGTTAATTTTGATAGAATAAATTCAGCTAGAAGAATAGAGTAAAATTAATCATCTTCTCGTAAAAGAAGGAAAAAGTGTAAAGTATCATTGCCTATTCAAGTAACTGAATTCATGACGATTTTCAGTTGCTTTTGAGCTACTGAAAACCTACCAAGATTTCGAGCCGAATGGAAGATTTGGACAAAAAGAAATGATGGAAAAAGAAGCAAATGACGAAGAAATGGCAAAGAAAATAAAATGAAAAATGGGAAGCCGAAAGAATCACGCTCACGCGCATAAACTGTTTTAGAGATTTATTTTTACGAGTGCGTATGTCGCGTGTACGTGTGCGAACATGCTATGTGTGCGACTAAGTATTTTAATGTGCATTTGCGCGTATGCATACGAATAGAGAAGAAGCAGCGAATAGTACAGAGTAGCAAAGAATATGAAAGGAGTAATGAGATACAAAACTTTATATAAGGACGACAACAAACTTAGACTTAAAAACAGATGCAAAAAAGAAATAGCGAATAATATAAAATCTCCCATTAGCTATTGTTCAATTAGAATCAATTTATTTTATCACACATTACATATATGTATACGCGACATTGTAACTCTGTTCATTTTTTATCAGTGATACGACATAACAATTTACTGGTTCCTTAATTATAACATGATCGATTTATAACAGAATTTCCATTAATTACGCAAAATAAGATATATATTTGTAAATTTCAATTTACATTTCGACAAATCTTGAAAGATTCGTCGTTGTTCTTTATACGTTATTATTTTTTTCGATATATTAAAATATGATAACCGTTGTTTTATTAATTTTTCTGCCCTGCTTGGTATCACTGGAGAAAATGACCAATACACATATGTTATGATTTTGCACTTGGTCGTTACACTGGCAGTATTGTTTTACAGGAGAGCAACATATTATAAAGATACAAATATGTACATATATACACCCCACATATATATATATATATATATGTGTATATATTTGTATCAACACATATGTATACCTATTATACTTTCTAAGATGTACATTCTTTCATCTTGTGCTCATTAATAATTAAGGATAAAGACTACATAGTTATATCTTTTATCCACATAGTCACTGTATAAATTAAATAACCTCATTAAAATTAATATATAAGATTCTAAAATAAATCTTGAATTTTTCTCGCTATTCAATAGGACATAAATAGCAACACGAAAGGAGAAAATTAGTAATTATAAAAAAGAATGATGACTTTGCCTTCTGAAATATACAAAAAGAAAGAGAAGGGAAAATGAAGAAAATTCTATTTAGGTAAAGTAGGATCGATATTTTACATTCAGTACTAGTTGACACAAAATGTAATTATTGTATCTTAAAACAGGAGAAGCAATAAGCAAGAAAAAAAAAATAAATCGCGACTAAATTAGCACGATTTTAAAATCGGTGATGTCGTGTAATTTTTATAATTTCACAGTCGCCCAGTATTTAACAATTTTCTAACAGTTTTTTTATGAAACAAGCACGTAAGATGGATATTAAGTCGTGTCAATTCGTTAAAACACGAGTAGTATTAGTCAGTTAATATAATTCATGAATTGAAAAATAGAAGGAAGAAACATTTTACGATGAATTAAAAGCTATTGAATTGTATGTAATTAAAAAGTTCTCCAAACGTACCGTTGTATATATTAATTCTTTCTTCTCATTACGTATTCTTCCTTTAATTTATTCCAAAAAATTTTGTTTTCTATCTTATACTTTATAACGATTTTAATTTATTGTTAAAATCATTTTCAAATTATATTATTTTATATGTGACTAGATAATATTAAATTTGTATAAAAAAATGATTTTTTGTTAATTTATTTTTAACTTAAAAGATAGTTTCATTAATTTTCAATATAGTATTAGCAAAAATTTGAATACAACATTTTGTTTATCCAATATCTATTAAATTGCTTAAATCATTTTTAGAAAATTTTAAAAATGAGCCTTTAAATAATCAATTAAATGACATAACAACAGATATATGCACAAAATAATTTCAACAATGTAAGATGTATGTATTTAAATACGCAAATATCAGGAATGTGACAAGTGTATATAAATATATTTAATTGTATTGTAAACATGAAAGTTTTCAGTTGTGACAGATACAACAAAAGCAATTTATTTGAAATTACTATTCTTTCCATGATTATTATATATTTATGTATATAAATATATTTTGTTTCTGTCAATAGCACTTATCAAATGTTCTCAAGTATTATACACTCAAACTAAAAAAAATGGAATGATTTGTAATTAAAACACAAAAGTTGATTTATTTGTTGCAAAATTTTCATTCTTATATATTTAATATGTAATCATAGTAGTAAAGAAAAAGTTATAATAACTTCATTTACATTTAAATTTTATAAATTTTCGAAAGATAGAATATTCTTGAAACCTTTAATGGTACAACTATTTTATTAAATTTATTTCTTATGATGAAATTCTATATTTTGTTGTTAATGACATTTTACATAATTAATTTATTAAAATGACAAGTATCAGAATGTACTTTTAAAAAAGAAGAAAGAATGGAACATTAAAAGTATACCTTCTATAAGAAAATGTATGCTTAAGATGAAGGAGGAAAAAATAAAGGAAAAAATAATACTATGAAATGAATATGAAATATAAGTTCAAAATGCTGCAATTAAGAATGTAAATTTCAACATTCAAGAATTCTCATAAAGTAGTTATATGTACTTCATTTTTTTAAACATTAGATACAATACATATATTAAATAATATAAATTTTGTTCAAATTTATTTAAAAAAAGATATCAGTGATGACAGAAAAATTATAGCCATTAAGGGTTCCTTTGATATTCTAAAGAAAACTATATCTTACGAAAGAACATTTATAAACTTCGTTAAATTTATTGCTAAAAATTTACTATACTGCTATACCATGCTGATTTATTATAACCCAAGTCAATTGAGAAATCACATGTTACATACTATTGTTCAAATATATGTTATATATTGTTATCGAAAATAACATTTTTATGAATTTCTATGCTGGAATAAGGATTGCAACTAGTAAAATAATATTGAAATAGCATTTACTGCTCGTGTTTATCGTGATATTTCTTCCTAAACTATATAATTTCTTCCTAAAGATAAGATGTATAAAATTCGAATCCAATTACTGAGTGATGATTTTAACTCCTTCCAATAACACTTCATGATTTAATGGTTAAGAAAAAATAAAATTTATGCCAGAGCTATATAGTAACCTTAACACTTTTTCTCTCTATCTCTTAGCATGAAAAGAAATACCTAACACTTTTCTTTCTGTGGGTTTAATAAATGTCAACATTTGTTGCATATTAAAATTTATCTATACTATATTATGATTTTTGCCTAATATTTTAATATTCCTAATAAATTAGAGATTGTTCTTTAGAATGTCAACAGTATAACAGATTACTAATATTTCTTGTACCAAGAACCTATCACAGAAACTTTAATAATACTTCTAACATCTCTTATTAATAACTCATGCCTTGAAAATTTTCTGCACTTATAAAAATCTTCTGATACCTATCTTAATAATGATCACAATGGAGTCGTATAGTTTCACAATTAAATAATGTTATACATGCGATATATACATTATCCAAAGCAGTATTGTTTTAATTCATAAAAATCTCATTCTTTTCTTTGTTACTATATCGTCATTATTCTTTATATAACAAATTATTTATACCCATATTTGAGTAAAATAATTCTGTACTCACAAAAGTGATATTTTTATAGCAAAAGATAAGAATACCTACTGTGTGTGTTTAATAAAGAACATAATAAAGAACAATAAGTGTGTTAATATGTAAGGAAGTATGAAAATTTAAAAATAGTCATATAAATAATTTTTTAAGTTATTTATTGTTGCACAAGTATTTGTTCCATTCATAAATGGTAGAATAATAATTAAAATTGATAAACAAACTATACGGCTCAAATTTTAACAAACAAAGGAGGTAATAAATGAAATCCTTCAAGTACACACCAAAGATTATAATCCTCTACCGGTGTTTCTCTCATACATTAAAAATAGATGTTCTCCTATTGATATTAATATTGTATCTTTCTTCTTTTACCAATTACTTGTTCATGGTAGCTCTGTAATCTTTTGTAATTCTTGATGTCTTCAAAAGTTGAGTATTTTTTAAATCTTTCATCTGTTTCTATTATGTAGAATTTCACTTGATTGTCTATGGCTCAATATTTTTTATCGCTAGGGATTATTAACAGATTCAGTTTAAGTCTATATATTTATTGGTGCTAAGTGTGTATGTGAAGTACAAAATGTATATTATTAATATTATGTTCATCATTATTACTAAAATCGTTTTGTCAAACTTTTGCTTAACCACTTCCGTGTCAATATCTTTTTAACCATTGATTATTAAATACAAGCAAAAATTTATCTAAAAGATGTCATGTTAAAAGTAATTTTATTACTTTTATTATTTTATAATTAATAATTCCTGATCAGATACTGAAATGGCTCATGCAAAAGTAAAATATTACATTTTTATATTGTGGTATCCCCAATTATAACAAATAATTAATTAGTTAATTCAGTATATAGTTAATTTACAATCTGTGTAACAATATAATATAAGATACTAATATTGTACAAAGCAAAAGAATTAAAAATCAAAGCACAATTCATCATTTTATTGTTATATTGAGACTAGAACACCGGTACAATATTTGCGTACAATATTGGTTATAAGACATGAAATATTAATTTGCTTTATGCCTTAGACATATTTACTATAAATTAAAATAATAGTTTGTCATAAGTAATGGTTATTAATAGTGATTTATTATTATATATAAGGATAAAATAATTTGTGTATCAATTAATTATTACATTAAAGTGTTGATATTATACTCGTTCAACCTGAGTTTTAATATATCTTAAAACATTTCTAAGTCACATTTCATGACGTTTTTCCATTTTTATAAAATGTATTTTTAAAATGTCATTATATTATATTCAGTCATAAAATGAACAAAATTTATTACGTAAATTATAAAATTGTATATTCTTATTTTATACAGGAGCATACCATTAATTTACTATTTAATAATATTAAAAGAAAAATATTCCAGAACTTGAAGTCACTGCATCATATATAAAGGTATTATGAACTGGTTTATATTGATTTGTAACAAATTTTATAACTTCTTGAGCTGCAAGGCCACCTAAAAATGCTGATACTGAATGCAACTCTGCTCCACCAAATCGACAAAATTCATGAACATAATCATCTTTTACCAATGGTCCACATCCCCATTCATTCAGTAACTTTGTTATGCATGCCTAAACAAAAAGGACAGTTATATAATAATATTCATACTTTTTTCCTATTAAAATAATTATTTTATATGAAACATACCTTAAGCTTAACTATATCAGGTTCTACTTGATCATCAAATTCTCCAGGATATGAATTATATTCTGTTTGAAATTTTTCAACCCCCCTAAGAACAACGTAATAAATCATCATACTCTCAGGATTTTCTAAACATTGCACTGAAAAGAGTAGAAAATTATTAATTACTAATTTATGTCACTCACAGGATGTTTAATATTTTTAAAACTATACAATTATTTTTAATCATTCTGCTTCCAAATTTTATAAGTTATTATATAGTACCTATATTGCTTGCATCAAAAATTTTAGAATCATATTCATTTGCGATACACGTTCCCCTTTGGACATGTATGTTCAAAGCATGTCTGCAAAACAACTTTACATCTCTTTCAGAAATGGAATCTGAAGATTTTCCTAATTGTCGTAACAGTTGCAATGTACGTCGCCATACTGCTTCTGCATCAACTATCGCTTGTTTGTGATATCTACAATAAACAAATTTATCTAAATATACTAGAAAAACGATATCTTTATAATAAATGTCTTATAATAAAGAATCTCACATTTGCTGAAATGTTATATATTTTTCTGTATCTGCTGTCATATCTGGCAAAGTACCTTTTAATGGTAATAATCCACCTCCCTCATTTTCAACAAAATCTTTTATTGCTTTAGCTATAATCCAAAATGAACTACTCTAAAAGTATATTAAATTAGTTTAAAGTAATATTATTCACTTGCATGATAATACTGTTTTGTTATACCTTAGCTGTTAAATTGATGCATTTATCATCATTAAGAATATTCATTACATTCTCTGGAATCTCAGTACATCCTACACATGTATTAACAGCTTTAATAGCTTCTTCAAAATTTTCTTCGCTATTTGCAGTATCATTCTCATCTCTCCTCATTCCTTCTTTTATCATTTCTTTTAATTGACTTTTTTCTTTGTAAGTTTTTGGTAATTCCCCATTATTTAGAATCCAATTTTCTAAAAATTTGTACAATATAACTAAGTATGGTATATGAGAGTGATCTTTAAAACTCAGTTCATCTAAATTTATGGTATCAAGATGCTTCTTTAATGTCTCAAATGGTTTATCTAAACGCAAATCTGGAGTTTCATTGTCTGGATGTGTTTCTATGACTGTATGTTCCTTTATTTGAATCCTCATATATGCAATAAATCCTATACTTCTACACACTATTAAAGGTATGTTTAATTCCCAAAGCCTTTGTGACAGAAGAATTAAAGATCTGAAAATTTTTTTCTTTTAAAATATATAATTTAAAATAGGTCAAGTTCCTACAATAATTTATTATTTATAATGATTCCTACTTTTCAACTAATGAAGTAGCTACAACAACAGTAAAATTGTTGAAAAAGTCAGGACTATTGCATAAAATTTCTTCAAGTTCCTCATCTATATAATCACCTCTAACATCAGAATTTAATTCTAACAACATTTGTGTTGCTACCTGTGCTCTTGATTTCCCTATACAGTCTGCTTCTAGAAAGAAACTATTTAAAAATATGCATTAAGTAAATTTAAAATATTTTGATACAACTCTTTTATGTATAATTATTAACATCTCTGCATATATACTTTGCCCCAATATCTTCATTAGTAACCTTTTTCCCATCTACGATTGTAAATGCCCCAATGCCTGGTAAAACTAAGGATTTTAAAATTTCTGTACCAAGGCCTGTAGCGTTTATGACACAAACATGTGCACTTTCTAATGCAGTTTGACCATGATCACCCCATAACCTATTGGTAATTATTAATATTATTAATATATTAATTAATATATTAATATATATTAATTAATATATTAATAATATTAACATTATTAATATATTAATATTATAACTAAGTTAATTAACTTATTATAAAAATTTAATTATTCGTCAGGCTGATTAAAGAGAATTATTTTATCATAAATATACAATTACTTCCAATTACCTTTCTGATCCTGAAATAGGATAGGTTTTATATATCTATATATTATATGTATAAAATCTATACCTTAATTGTCTATCATATTTTCTGTTTTTTTCAGATTGTTCTGGTGATTTCGGTGCTGGTGATGCCATAAGGATAGACTAATAAAAATGGAATAATAATACAACACTTTAGATCAGATGAATTACACTTTTGATCAAACTATTAAACTGACATACACAAAACAACCATAAGCGCAAGTTTACTTATAAACTTTCACAAATCGTCATGAATAGAGCAGTTTCATAGATGGAACATCATAAGAAAAAAGAAGTAACCCTTTACAAACTGAAAAGTTCAGTTTTAAATTTTATTGTACGATTTATTGAAATAAATAGTAATTAGCCTACACACGTATATTATTACAGTTGTAATACTGAGTTATTGCAGATAAAATAATCATATATATCACGTTGATTAAATTGATGTATATGTATGTGTTTGGTATATATAATTTATACTCCTGACAAATATAAACAATATTGTATGTAATTTATATTTTGTCGTAAACCTCATTTATTATGTTGCGGGTTGATAGTACATTGTACACCATGCTTTTGAACAAAAAGTTTAAAGTTATTTTTATTGCATTATGAAAATTTTCATTTTTTTATAGAAATGGTAGGTAATTAAAATATTGAAATGCAATCAAAAACATATCTTCAATTAACTTTGGCAATAATTAAACCACATGTTGTTAAATCTCCTTTTGTGCTTCAGGTAAGAGGATATAACCTAAATTGAATGCAAATTTGAGACATATATACAAATGTAAAACTTTTAAACGGCAGCAAAATAGGGTTGGTGGAACAGTTGATTTCCATTTCTGAATAAGATTATAGTAATATTTAAATATTATTGTAATTTCAGAAAATTCGAGATTCAATAATTGACAACAACTTAAAAATTGTCAGATCACGCAGGACAATAATTACTCAAAAAGAAGCAGTGTTATTTTATGAAGAACACAAAGAAAAGTTCTTTTATAATCGTCTTCTGACATTTATGTGTAGTGGCCCATCAGATATTTATATTTTAACAGATCACAATGCTATTGCTAAATGGAGACAATTAATGGGTCCTACAAAAGTTTATCAGGCACAATATACTGCCCGTGATACAATTCGAGGAATGTATGGTCTATCAGATACAAGAAATGCAACGCATGGTTCTGGTATACTCTTCACTTTATAAATCCCCATCTATGTTATTTGTGTATAATATAAAAAAGTATTCTTTTAGATTCAGTTGCATCTGCAGAGAGAGAAATAAGAATATTCTTTAGTGATTTTAATTTTAAGAAATGGTACGAACATGATGAAAAATATTATAATTTAGGTCAAATTCATTTTGATCCAGTAGCTTTTGTACATACTATTAACACGAGTTTCCCTAATAAAGAACAAGTTACAAAGTAAATATTGTAAATAAAGTATTACTAAATATTTAATAATATAGAATTTTACAAAAGTTGTGTATATTATATACAGTTATTAAATATAAATATACATACATATATATGTATATCTATATAGATGATGTATAATAATTCAGCACCTGACAAAGAAATATCTTCAATATTTAGGAACAATAAAATAAGTTGATATAAATGTATATATTGTAATCTTGTTTTGGTTTGCTCTTTACTTGAGATTTAATAGAAGTACCCTTTGCTTTTATACGAACTTATCAAGGATTAATCTTGATTTTCTCATATTACCTTTTTATATTTAATTAGGTATTATCATTAATAAATAATATTTGAAGTTATGAGACATTAGTGAAACTTAGTTTCTAAATATATATATAAAATGGATATACTTTCTTTTTAGGGATATTGATCAAAAGGTTTCTTCTTGTTCTTTGGTTAAATATGTAGTTGAATAATCAAGTATACAAGTATTTCAATTGAAAAAAGAAAACTATTATACGTATATGAACTTATTTCATCACTTTCGAGTGCTGCTAAAAAGCATTTCTTAACTATCTTTTTAATTCTTTATGAAACTTCATCAGTTTTCGAGAAAAGCTTTTAGGATATTAATGTTTGATTTGATGAACTTTGCAAATTGGTAAAGCTCCATTGAAAAATAAGGAAAAATAATTCCTGTTTCTTATACATTAAATTATATAACTGTATATAAAACAATAACAATTTAAGCATTCATTTTTACATAAACTTTTGGTCTTGAGAAAACTTTTATCCCTTCTTCTAATTTGTTCAATTGTTTCTCTATTTCAATTTTTCGTCGTTGCGCCCTAAGGGTATCCACTTTTATAGGCATCATATTTAATTCAGTTACATAATCTTGGTAATCTAGAATAGTAATATTGATTTAAATAAACCACGATTTCACTTTAAAAAATTTAATTTTTAAATTACATACTCTTTTTTAACATTTGCAATGTCTCCTTACGCTCATTATCAGGTAATGGAACATGTCCATTTGGACAATTAGGATCCAATTCTTCTACTTTAGCTCTCTGTACCCTTTCTTGAATTTCCTTTCTGTTCTTAATATACCTAATCAAATAGTTTTTCAACAAAAAAGTTTTAGTCAGAAGATTTAAAATCTAAGAAATAAAATTAAAAATGGTATGTACAAATTATAGATCACTGATGTAATAATTGCTATTTGTAGTAAAAAATATAAGAAAAAATCGAATCAATGAATAATAATAAATATACGTATAATACATATTTACATACCTTGGAACTACACCCATGCGATAATTTGTAGGAAGATTGTTATTATTACTATTATTACTGGTGTTGTTATTCATTTGGGTTGCTATCTTATTAGTTACAGTGGTATGTTCTTTGTTTAATTTAATAAAATTTACTTCTTCTTTAGATAATACAGATTTGGAACTTTTTGTATCATTTTTAGCTTGTGTATTTTTTTCAACGACTCGAATATCTCCTTGATCTAAAGGTGAATTTGTTATACTTCTTGAAGATACATTAATTTCTTCATTTGTATTATCTTTATTTATTGATTCATAACGATTTAAATATTTTTTTGAAGGGTATCTACACAGAGAAATTATTATTAGCAAACTTTAGACTACTATAATAACAATAATAATGATAATGACCTGTACACAAAAATAGCAAATAAAATAACTCTGAATAAAATATACAAATATACATACTTAACTATTCCTTCAGAAAATAGATCATCAATTTCCTGTGTGTCCAGTGTTTGAATACCTTGACTTTTAACTTTAATTTGAACCTTTATATCATTATCAGTATCTCCAACTGATTTATATGAAAAATTAGGATTTGATGAAATATTCTCATGTAATTTCTGCGTACATTTATGTAATCCTTTATTTTCCTTTTTTCTTTCTTTAATTAATAAATTATTACTTGTTGAATGTATTGTCTTTTTCATAAAAATATTATCTTTGTCTAATGTTGACGCACTTATTTTCTTACACAATTCTTGATGCTGATCTAATTTACTATTTACACTTGTATTCACATTATCATCCTTTTTTGTTCGAAGATTTGTATTAACTTTTGATAAAACATTATTATTTTGATTATTACCATAATTATTATTATTAATTTTTCTACGGTTGGATATTTGTGATTTTTGTACATCTTTTGTTCCTTTATTAATATGTAAGTGATCTATACGACGAAGATTTTTGACATTTTCATGTATGAAATTTTTTCCTTTTACTGATTCTAAAAAAGAAAATATTAATTACTAAATAATTTACAATAAAAATATAGATAACAATCATTATAAATACTAGTAAATATAAAGTTACTATTTTAATATTAATAAATAATTTTGTAAAAGACATACTTGAATCAGGAAAAATGCCTTTTAGCGTTGTCATGTCCAATTGTTATTTAATACTACTGCCTAAAAGTGATATTTTTTTTCTTCGTTAATCCATAAAATAAACAATTACGATTGTAATATTTCTAACTGAATAATTTTTAATGCATAATTTCCTTTACTATTAGCGTTACTAAATAAACAATGTTGTTTATAACTCGAAATATACAATATATAAAAATGATTAGAAAAACAGTATAGCCAACACAATTATTAAATTTATTCTGCTGGGAATTTGTATAAGGTATTAAAAATCAGTTTTGTATCCATTTTATGAAAATATACAAAATAATTCTTAGAAGAAAACCTAATTGTGGTCATTTTAAATGAACAAAAAAGAAATTGTATAAAAAGATGTTTACCTAATTAATGAGATTATTATTCAGTAATATATTTTTATTAAAACGGATAAGAACATTCAGAAAGCATATTTACTTTTTTTTGGTGAGATTACACAATGCTTCTACATGAATTGATTTCTTAAATAATTTTGTCATAATTATAACATATGTATTTATAATATGATACACATTGCAATCATTGTTTATAGTCTATTCAACGTGTTGAGTTGATTGAAGTAAATAAAACCACGTGATCGGGATCCAGATGAAACAGGATTGCTTCACAATCTTGAGATATTATAAAATGAAATACTCCGAAATAGCTTTTGAAGAATGTCTTCCTTCGATGAAAACTACAACTTTGCATACTGAAGGAAAAAATAAACTATAAAATAGGAAATATAAAATTACATTCTCGAATGTTAAATTTCTAAATAAAGAAACCGGACATATTCGTCAAACTAACTTCAGAAAATATATCTCTTAACCTTTAACCAAATATATTAAATTAGGAAGCAGAGACAAATCTTTTCTACACTAACGAATATAAATCTATTCTTGAAAATCATAATTTGTTAGTACTATAGACTAGACCACGATCGTTGCATATGACTGCACCGGCCAATAACTAGAGTTCCATATACCTTGTGACCAATATCTTTTCCCTTAATAATTTAATTCGTTAAATTGACTACAGTAGATCTGCTGCATCTTTAAATTAATTTTGGTAGAATAAAATCTTGTATATATATTATATCCAAGTTAAAAGGATTATTGTATATAATAAAAAAAATATTAGTGGAAGGTATATTATTCAGATCACTTTTTATTATAATTTTTTAAATAATAAAATTTTATTATTTTGTATTGTTTTAGTTACTGCGTTAGTAAAAATATTTATATATTAAAATAAAATTAAAAATAAAGCTACCTTTAAAATAGTACAATTTATTATTTTTTATACTCATGTTTACTCGAAAATACGATTAGAAACAATAATACCAGATTATTATACAGTAATTATGATGAAATTTATATATGGAAAATATATATGCATTTCAAACTATATACTTTCTGTGACTTATTGTATATTATACATTTTTATATAAATAATTGATTACGAAATGATTTATCAAATATGTTATTAATTTTTAAAAATTGTTATTTGAAAGTGAATTATGTAAAAAACGTATTATAGGATATAAATGACACATGATCATGTATTTAGAATTAGACTTGCGAAAATACCAGTGTAGCTTCTTTATTTAAATTGATGTTAACATTTTAACAATTATTAAATAATATGAATGAAATATAAATAATAACACGTGTTTAAAGCGAACGCTTTGATTTAAAAAAGGATTTTAAAAAGTACACGGTATTCTTTCACTTATTCTCTATATCTTAACATTTCAAATTTCCATTTCCCTGATATACTCTTACATCGATTTTTACATTATTGTCATTTTTAAATAAATAAGTTATAAAATCTCTTTTTTAAATAGATATAATACAAGTTGTAATTGTTTAATCAAATAAAATAACATTGTTTGGTACGTTAAGATTTGATGGTCTTTTGGAACAGCGTCTATACTAAGTGACTTTAGCCGTTTGGAGATGGATAGTTTACCGTGTAGACATCAATTTACGGTATAGGCTTGAGACAAAGCGTAGGGTAAAAATAATATTTTTTCTGCAAGATCAATTATTCAATTGCCAATTGGACAATAAAATAACAAAATAGTGCGTTTGACAATTAATTAATTTCAGTCATTTATCGACAGTGGTGTTAATTCATAGCTGTAATCTTGACAGACGTTTTATACTTGTGAAAATTTCTGTTGCCGACGCAATTTTGTATTTTTATTACAATTTTATTGCAGGTAAATCATGAAAACGATTTCTAACTTAAGGTTATTCTTAAAATTTCTTTTATTTTTAAGTATTTTATGAAACACTTGTATTATTTTCGAAAAAAGGGATTGTATGTCAAACCATCGTCTTTTGTTGCGTTAGCCAATTACACAGAAAATGTTTTCCCGCCATATTAGTAAAACTTGTTTCGGGTATGAAATTTTTAATAATTATTAGTTTTAACCTTTAATAGAAATGAAAACTTTTATGTCACGTTTCGAATATACTTATACTATCTTCCCGTTACGATTATTTAACTTTATTTTTATGTTATATTTATACTTATTGCTCCAAATTTAATTCAATTGTACTCTAAATTTTGAACAAACGATCTATACAAATTTATATTAAAATTAGTTGAAATAAAATTTTATTTATTTTAAAAGGATAATTTTATTATTATTTTACAATTATATCAATAATATCCTGTCTATTTAATATGTCAATAATACTAATAATGGAGCGTTTATAACATAACGTGTAGTATGGTTATATAGAA